AGAAGGTGAGCAAACATATTAAGAACAGTATGCCATATATGCCAGGTCCCTTGAAACAGCAAGGATGGACCGGCTCCCAGCACCTCATTAAATGGTTTTGGACAGACACCTCAGTCAGGTGGAGTTTCTGTTTTTCAAGCAAACAGGCGTTTGACTTGAAGGCTATTCTAACAGCTGATGTCAGTGCTTCCCCAGGTTGCTGCTCACACCCAGGGACTGTAGCCCAGGACACAGCCTGTAGACCTTTTGAGGAGAGTGCCTGAATCTTGTACAGCAGGTTGATGAGTTTTCACTGAAGCAGGTCTGAAAGCTCCCAAGAGAGGTTCATCCTACAGTGGCAACTCATAAATTTAGAGGTAATCTGGGTGTGGCTATAGAGAATAAAGGTATTAATTAAGTCATACTATAGCAGAAGGGGGTATAGCTCAGGGGTAGAGCATTTGACTGCAGATCAAGAGGTCCCCAGTTCAAATCTGGGTGCCCCCTATTTATTCCTAATTTTGATCTTTGAAATAGTGCTGTATTTTGATTTCATCTTCCTTACAAGACATCAGTGTAAAGATTTTTTTCTTCTGGAACCAGCAAATGATGAGACTTAATGTGATAGTCGGTGTTTCTGAACTCCAAATATAAATTAGAATCACCAGAGAGTTCATAAAAGCGCCATTTCCCAGACCCCACCCCAGACCAATTAGTTCTGAATGTCTGGGGTGGAGCCCAGGGATGGTAAATGCTCCCCAGGGCTCCTGGTCTATAGCTAAGTTGAGAACCAGTGTTAGAGCTTCCTGGAAGCCTTCTCAGACCCGTGTTACCTCTTCCCACTCTGTCTGCCCAGCATTTGTGTTCTGGATCTCTTCTCATTCATCCTATGTGCACATCATTTGTAACTTGACCTTAACAGCATCTTCCACAAACAGTTGCCATTTCAACATGTCTAAGTTTTCTTAATTTTCCCCTTCTCAGTCCAGGCATTCTCCCTGGGATAGACAGGAATTGATCCATTTCCCACCCAAACCGCCAGGATCTGAGGCTCAGGGAGAAAGCCCTTATGGGGTTGAGAGAGTTTGCAGAAGATGAAATATCAACCTGTGTAACTTTAGGCTATGTAACTATTAAAGACAACATTATGTCTTATTCGAGCTTTAAAAGCAAACTTCTGCAGAAGGAACCAGTGAATTTTATTAACCATCTCAAAACTGAAGAAAGTGTTGGATTTCTATGGTGTGGGGAACAAACAGCTGAGTATGTGGTAGATAGCCTCAGAATCAGCTGTGAGTTCAGAGAGAGAGCATGTAATTCAGAAGTACAGTTCATAGCATCCCTTATAGTAATCTTTTATGACCTCTCTCATAACTACCTAAAGTACATTGCATGATCCTTCAGGTTTATAGAGAAAAAAAACACACACACACACACAGGTTTATATTTTAGACTACAGGCCTGGTGCATGAAATTCATGCATGGGTAGGGTCTCTAGGGCCTGGCCAGCGATCAGGGCTGATTTGGGCCTTCCAGCTTCCGCCTGGGGCCTTCCTTCATTACGTGTCGCCCCCTGGTGGTCAGCACACATCATAGCAAGCAATTGAACTCCTGGTCTCCCGGTCAAACTCCAGAGATGACAATTTTGCATATTAGGCTTTTTTTATATTTAAAATTATATATATATAATAAAATTATTTGACAGCAAGTAAGTCTTACATTTTTTTATATTGAATGTCAGGAAAGCACAGCAGAGAAATAGCTGTTTAAGTCAGAGCACAGGCAAGTGTAGTCTTCCTGGAGGTACATGCCCGACAAATCTGCAAATAAATATTTGTCTAACCCCTGAGTTGTAAATATTCTGTATCCTCTAAGTTCTTTTATCAGCATATGGCATAAGTGCCTGACAAAAACATATTATAGCCGAAACCGGTTTGGCTCAGTGGATAGAGCGTCGGCCTGTGGACTGAAAGGTCCCAGGTTCGATTCCGGTCAAGTGCATGTACCTGGGTTGCGGGCACATCCCCAGTAGGAGATGTGCAGGAGGCAACTGATCGATGTCTCTCTCTCATCGATGTTTCTTTTTTTTTTTTTAAATCCCTTCCTCTCTGTAAAAAATCAATAAAATATATTAAAAAAAAAAAAGATGGGAAGGAGTGGTGAAAATGTGATGACGTAGTAGCAAAATAACCTAATAAAATAATGCTGAGATGAAGAACCAGCTCTGGCTCCCAGCTCTATCACATTTTTATGTGTCCCTGGGTTATGCATATTTGTATATAAGTTCTTGGTTAATTTCTTCCCACCCACCCCTCCCCTCTTCCCTCTGGGATTCGTCAGTCTGTTCAATGTTTCCATGTTTGTGGATCTATTTTGTTCATCAATTTATTTTGTCAATTAGATTCCACATACGTATGAGATCATGTGATACTTGTGTTTCTCTGACTGGCTTATTTTGCTTAGCATAATACTCTCAGGTCCCTTCATGCTGTCTCAAAGGGTAAGAGATGCTTCTTTTTTACAGCTGCATAGCATTCCATTGTGTAAATGTATCCCAGCTTTTCTATCCACTCATCTACTGATGGGCACTTGGGTTGTACTTTTTCCTCTAGAGGCTGCTTTTGTAATTCCAGTTTCATGAACACTTGGAACTTTGGATTAGAACCTGGTGGCTTGCCCCTTTCCTATCCCTGTCTCCCCTTCCCCAATTGACACCTTCTGATATTGAAAATGACCTTTTTTGTTATTGTTAATTCTCACCTGAGGATATTTTTTCCATTGATTTTTAGAGACAGTAGAAGGGACAGGGAGAGACACAGAGAGAGAAAGATCGATGTAAGAGAGACACATCGATTGGTTGCTTCCAACAAGGCACCCCAACTGGGGCTGGGGATCAAGCCAGCAACCAAGGTACATGCCCTTGTCGGGAATCGAACCCCAGACCCTTCAGTCCAAGAGCCAACGCTCTAACCATTGAGCACCGGCTACGGCGAAAATGACCTCTTGTGTTACTTCAGGTCCTGCAACCCAATCCTGCCAACCCTGAGGCTGTTGAACCCCTTCACGGAGGGACTGTCCCTTTCTCCTTCACCTTTCCTCTTAACTCCCTTTTATGCCCGTTGCCCAACGTTCCCCAGAAGATGCCCCATCCCTTCTTTTTTTTTTATAATTAAATCTTTATTGTTCAGATTATTAAATTTGTTTCTCTTCCTTCCCCCCATAACTTCCCTCCTCCCAGTTCCCGCCACGCCCTCCGCCCTCACTCCCCAACCCACTGTCCTCACCCATAGGTGCACGATTTTTGTCCAGTCTCTTCCCGCATCCCCCACACCCCTTTGCCCCCCAAGAATAGTCAGTCCATTCCCTTTCTATGTCCCTGATTCTATTAGGATCACCAGATTATTTATTCACTTGATTCTTAGATTCACTTGTTGATAGATGCATGTTTGTTGTTCATAATTTGTATCTTTACCTTTTTCTTCTTCCTCT